CTCCTTATTCTGACACACAACACCCAAATGTTGTCTTCCAGCAAGGAGGTGACTTCCAGAAAGACACCCTAAGAAAGTTACACAAAAAGTAGCTATTCCAAATTGGCAAACAGAAGGGTCTTGCCCACCCCCCCTTCTCAAATTTTGCATTCCAACCCTGAAAAACACCTCAGAAAACTTCCAATGCTGCCACAGGCTGCAAAAATCAGAGAAGTCTTTCTTCCCCAGAATTACACAGAATAAACCAGAAGACAGCTGAATTTTCTGTCTGCATTTGAGAACAGATTTTATGTCAAAAGTCAGGGGAAAATTTTTATATTACATATAAAAATAAATTTAAGAAACAACATATCTTTTCTACCATCGCAACTATTTCTGCTCTGTGTATTACATAAACCAGATATTTTAACATACAGAAATTTAGTTAAAGCCATGTATTTGCCTGAGTTCTGGCTGCATATCTTCTTCAAGCTTTGCTCAGCCTACTGCAAACTGATTGTTATCCTAGATTTCAATCTTGGTCTTTTAAGTTTCCTTTTCTATATACATTGTCAAACCACTAATAACCTATTGCAAGTCATCTTAACTGCCAACACATAGTCATTTTCCCTGAAACGACTCTTCATTTAAGACTATATGTTGCAATTTTCTACCATTTTAGTGATTTAAGTATATCATCTATTGAATGTCCTGGTCTTAGCAACAAAGAATTGTCTTGCCAGATGGAATACGAAAATAGTATTAAATAACCCCATTTTTTAAATTGAAAAAAAAGAAAGTTCAGTTCATATTTGTAAATACCATACTGCATCTCTAATGTGAAAAAAGCACTTTCCCAAAACATAAATAGCTGGCAGCTATCCCTCAGAAATAAAAATCCTTCTAAACCTAGAAGTAACCAGTATGCCATGTTCTCTGTAAAAAAAAAAAAAAAAAGGAACAACTGACTTGTCATCAACTAATGCCCTGTAGCAGTGAATAGGGCAGGCTATGAGGACATCATAACTACCATATAGATGTCCACATGCATTATTAGCCCTTTCTCTCTCTCTTCCCCCCATTTCAGTGACAGCATAAGCCAGGTGCTTCCCAAACTGCCTCCTAGTCCTTCCTGAAATTTACCTTTACAATGGTAAATCTAATCAGATCTGACATGCATACCGTGTAGGGGTTCTGTGAGGAAAACCAAAAAGAACAATTTTAATAGATCGCTGCTTCCTATATCCCAAAAAAATAAATTATAGGGACATAAAAGAATGGAACAGCTACACTTATACACTACCATTTTGGTAGTAAGATCACTTGCAGTTTAATTAATTTGGTTACAGCAATCAAGGTAAATGAAACCAAATTCACAGAAACATATATACACACACACGTTTATATAGAGATGTATCAGGAGGCAAAAGTAAAAACTTAAGATTGATATTTAAAGGCATCTCAATTTAGTAGAACGCATCTCAAAGAATATGCCAACTGCAGGTATAAGCTAAAGTAAATTAATGCAGCAATAATAGTAGTGATTTTCAGAACAGTAACAGCGTACAGGGTTTTTTTAAAAGATACGTGAACATTAGTAAGAATCAGGCATTTTTAAGATATGCGTAAATTAATACTAAGCAGGCATTAAATACATCACTACTGTGGACACTTCAAATCACATTAACTATGAATTAATTTTAGATGAAATAGCTAGTTAAAGCTATTTAAAGCTATAAAACTGAAACCTTAACATTAGAATCATATCATTGATTGCCACATGATCCAGTGAAGGCAAAAGCAGAATATGGCCAATCGCATAACTCTGTTGTGTTACCAATATGTGCATTTGCCCCATCCAGCCCTGTGTCTGAAAGACATTTTAGCCAAAAAGCCTTTTTGAGACCTACTCAGCTGAGTCTAAGGAGGAAGAAGAAGGATCTTCTACATTTCATCAAGACTCATACAAAACTTTGTCCATTAATCATTAATAATTATGACATATAAAAAGGGGGGTTTGCAGGTAATTATCCAACCATGACAGACCTATATTGATATTCAGGTTTGTCCCTTGCCCTTGGCCATCCCTTCTGCAGCCCTCCTTGGAAACAGGCTACATCCTGAGAAGGACAGGCAGATAGAAATTTTACAAACTGGAAAAGAAAAAGGTAAAGCTAGAAACAAACATACTTCTCAAATTCATACTGATACCGCCTTTGCAACAGGTTCTTACCGAAACAGTGTAAGATTTTGAGAGAGAGATGTATTACAAACATACACGTATACAGATGCAGTCAAGATTTCTCTAAAACAAACTTACTTATCCAAACAACTGAGACCAAAGAAAAATTCTTCTTCCAAATCCAGTACCTCTTGTGCCTTTAAACATTTTCCTTTTAACCTGAATGTGTCACAAAAGCTAGAGAAAAACCTTTTGCCATGATTTTCTTTGTTTCACTTGAAGACCAAACAGCATTATGTTTCCTCCAACACTCAGGAGAGTGTGTGTGTGAATTCATAGAAATTATTATGGATTGTTAAGCAGTCAGAATGAAAATTACTTGTCACAAGTAGCGATAAAAAGTCAGAATTATTGAAAATATTAAACTTATTTGTTCCCTAATTTATTCTGAAAAATAAACATGATGATTTTAGGTTCTTAAATTGAAAACTATACCCAAACCTTTGCTGTGTTCTTATTGCTCTCACTCTATTAATGCAAATTCACTTTATTGTAAATAAAAAGTTTCCCCAATTTCAAGGGACCAAGTACCTGTTGTTTCATTGAAGAATAACAAAAACTCTAGACTTGCTCCCAGCCACAGTGCCAAAGCCTGAACTACTCTTACACAGAAAACACAATTGGACACAAAAAAAACCCCAAAAAACCAACAGTGAATGTAATAACCAGCACAAAAGAGCAGAATATGTAAATCAAAATTAAACCCATTTAATTATATATGGCACAATATTTCTCTGCAGTTCATAAGAGAGTATCTGGTCCGTGTTACAGATCTAAACATGAAACACATAGTTTCAGTTTTGAAGAGGAGGGGCGTAAGGATATTTTTTTCGCATGTTTAAACAAAATCCTCTACATGTTCCCATGTTTCGTAAAATTTGCCTTGCTGCTGCTCTTCAATTCACTTACATACTTTCCTGCTGTGGTCATACATCAAGAAAGCATACTTCTCCTATGTCCTAGCTGTAGCTAGTTAATTTCATTTCATTTAGTAGCTATCATGACCCCTTTATTTTTATTCCTTTACTTTTTAAGTAGAAAAATCAACTGTCAGCTATAAAAGGCAGTACTATTCCTTCAATGCAGAGGAAGCTAAGGAGCCAGAAAAAGTACAGATCTTTTCCATCAAGTGGAAGTTGTTCTAGGTTCTACAATGAAAGATGAAACCAGCAACTTGCACATTAGGAGAGTGCCTCAAAACCTGATAAGTGAACATTTTCACACTTTTCAACCCTCTTTTCTGGAGGTGAATCACCACCTGGCACAGACTGCAAGAGCCCGGGGACCATCCAGACAGGATGCATCTGAAGCCTGACTCCAGCACAGTGGTGAGAGCACTGATCCAGTCTCTCTCAGTATCAAGGAGAGCGGTTTCTACTCAAAAGCTAGAAGCCACCTGTCCTGAGAAAGGCATTCCCTGGCACAAGTGACTGGCTAAACTCAATCACCCTGGCAATTTTCAGGTTTGGGTGTGAAAATTGAAGTCAAATGCCAAAAGTGTTAAGCCTGAAGTCCTAGGACAGCTTAGGACTTAGTTTTAGACATTTGAGTTCCAATTTACTACCCACGTTCCAAACAAAAGCCCCTAAGGAGAAACTTATTAATACTGGCCAAGATGAGTTGTATTTGCTCAGCTGTCTCAATAATCTAAAGCTGTTCATGGTAAGGATCTCCAGAAACACCTGCATGTTAAAGTGCAATAGCAAAACGAAAGGGATCCAGAGCAGTGACTGGTAATACATGATCTTAATTAAATATGAACTTCACGGTCCATGTTTGTTCAAGTGACAGAACTAAACATATAAAAGCCTGTGCCACTCTCCTTTACAGCTAGGTAGAAAATAAGCAGATATAGAAGTGTGTGCTTTTTGACATGATAGTTATAGGTAGACAATAGAAAAAACTCCCTGAAAATTAAAGAAATACACTAATAAAAGTTTTAAGAATTAGCTTACCTAAAATGACTATAGTGTATTAATCTCAAAATGAAAGTGAGACATTCTAGATTTAAGTTCTGCAGCATTTTCTCTCTTTGGTGTTTTTTTTTTTTTAACCAAGTCAATGCTTTCTTTCTATTTTGTTATCTACTCACAGAATATTAAGTCAGTCACCTTTTGCAGGAATATATTTAAATCACTTTCTTGGTAATTATTTTTCCTATAAACACTGCTGAACAGAGATTTCCCCCAGTTTTCAGAACTTCAAGAGTGCAGTTCTTCTGTTGATTTTTTCCAGTTACTAAGAACATGTGTATTTAATCACCACTCTCCGTAATCATCAGGCTGAAAAACATTTCCAGTCACACCTCATCTTCGTGAAAATCAGACAACTGATTCATCTGGGTAGCATACAAACCAATCTAATACTCAATCACAAATATTTATCAAATATATCATTTAGTTAAACTATCAGTTCAGCTGTAATATACGTTTTCCCCTTTTTCCTCTAATCCTCATTTTGTATTTCTTATTTCAATTTCTTTGAGGAAGCAGTGCTAAAACTGGCTTTTAATCCAGAATGAGTATTTAAAATAATATTTACAGTCTTATCTGTTCTTAATACAAGTGTCTGAACTGTATTAAAAATGGCTGTTTATCTCAAAAAATTACATTAAAAACAATAAAAATAAATCTATATTAATTCTTAGAATACTTAAAATCGGTTTTGGAATGTCATCAGTTATATAGCATACAGCAATAAAAGGAGGCAAAGAATGGGTTTTAATTTAAAGCCATGATTAAAATACTAAATATAAAAGACAGAAGAGTTCGAAACTGACCTGAGTCCATAAAGGACTGTCCCATCTGGATGCAAACGGATCATTCTGTTCTTCACAGTGACACCATGTACAAATGACTTCTTGTCATTCAGAAAATAGGTATCAGGAACCCACAGCTGATCAGCTACTCTGTTGTCCAGAGTAAGGTTTAGAGGTATTACATTATACGACAGCCTCTTATCCCTCCACGCTTGCTGAAAGTACATTGTCAATGTATAGTCCTGTGATTATAAAAACAAAAAAAAGTTTGCATTGAAACAGACAGCATACATGTGCAATAAAAATAATGCAAATACACATTTCTTAATTGCGACTGTTCTTAAAGGCAAACATTTCTGTTCAGGATTTCCATGAGTAGATGTATTTATTTTTACAGTACTGATCATCTTGTGTATACTTAATAACAGAAATGAGAATATAGAAAATATGGGGTATGCAAGTTTTATGCATGACTCGGGAGTTCTCATTTCAATATTTAAAACCAAAATGGAAACATATCTTTAGATGCTTAAAAATCTGCAATTTCTGCAGCACCTTACAAGCCTGGGAGTTCTAGGAAACAGGAACATTCACACTTCTGAATTTCATGTCACAATCTCCACTGTATGCAATAGAGCTCTGGATCAGGCCTCGTATCTCTGAAGTTGCAGCTACTACCCAAATACTTCTGCAAATTAAAATATCTTCAAAGTCTGTTAACTTTCCCTTGGGCACTGAAATCAATGGGAAGTCTCTGAGGTTTCTATGCTATAGAGTCTTAGTCTCCTACTTAATTTTACAGATGAAGTAACTCTGGTTACTTCACTGAACAATTCGGGGAGCACAATTAAGCAGCTGGGTAAATAGCTGCAGTATTATGAGACTTGCATTGTCTTGATGCAGGCCACTAGCATACAGTACTTTGGAGATGTTTCAATCTTTTGGTGTTTTAGAGAACAATATCATGACAAAAAATATATTTTTTGTAAGACCTGTCATACAGATGCAGAATACTCATCATATACTAGCCTATACTAAAAAAACCCCATAAATAATACACAAAGGTGCTGTATATCTGACCATAGATCACTAGGTCGAGGGCTGTAAAACAATACTGAAGGAATACCAAAAGAAGGCATATTCTAAAACCAATATTTTGTTTTCTGTGTTCTACAGAAATCATAATCAGGCTTCAGACTATTTTGATTTAGAATTCATATTTAATGTGCACTTCATTACGTAATGAGAACTGTTAGTTTACAAAAGATTGCTTTCAACGGGAAGTCAACAAAAGCTGCTGATGATCAACAACCTCAGGATTCAGCCATGTCACAGTATGAAAGTCTATATCTACGCATCAGTCTGAGGCACTTGAAAACAAGAAATCCCACCTGACCTAGTACAAATAATTAGCTTTAGTGACTACATCTCACAAACTGACTTCTAGCACTGCATAACAAAGAAAAGCATGCAAGATATGAACATTTTATTGCATAAATTGCAATGTTAGTGCTCATTAGCTATTTTGTATTTTAAAGACCACTATTGAAACTTTTTT